AGAAGTTTGTCCAACTCCTCGTCTACTATGCGCTTGCCGCTGGACAGGCCCTCCTGTACTGCAGTCATCACCTTGGAGGAAGGTTCGTCTACCTCTAGTGCCAAGCTCTTGATGTCGTGATTCAGCAAACAAATCTCGAGTTGGAGATTGAGTCTGGTGAATTCTGTGTTGATGTCTTGTAACTCTCTTTGTGTCACACTGCTAGATATGAAACGCCTTTCAAGGAAGTACAGTTCAATTTCAACTTGATGACCTGTTCAATTAAGATAAGTTTATCTATCAGTCTTGAAGTGTTCTAGTCCTTCCTATCATGCCAACAGTCGATAATTAATTAGAAGAACAGAGCCTCATTAACAAGAACTATTCATCTTGTATTGTGATGGGACCTGTTGGATTCGTGAATAAGGTATTTGTAATCATGAAAATGAAAGACTAAGAGATCACAATTAAGTATGTTTTGAGGCGCGTAATTAAAACAAAATGGTAATTTGTAAACGCTTTGTATTCTCTCAATGGAGCCCTTTAAAAAAGCTCAGATATGAATAGCACATCTTAAAAGATAAGCTAATAATTTCCAAGTTTGTTTTTCCAAATCCGTCCCATCTTTCTCAATCTTAAGTGGATACACGTCGCAATTTTGTTGCACGCTGAACGTTGCATGCACGTGTGTAGCATTGCGCAGAAAGAACGCTTGGGATATTTATCGTTGTGATTCACTGCGCTAGCTCTTTAGTTTAGTTTATTCCGATAATATTTCTCCGTGACTTTCAAGCACGGCTGACAGGTATAAACACGCTTGTAGAGCCACTGATGGTTAATTCAAGCAAACTGGTGTAAAGTTCATCAAACTATATTTTGACGATGATCTCTTCGCTGTTATCGTACCGTCTTCAGTGGTTAGGCAGCTTAAAGACCTTTAAACGTTTATTTATAGTGTCTTTACATGAATTAAAATGTAGACTTACTTTCCAAGTGAAACTCTTTGCAGATTTCCATTGGCAGTTACAAACGTTACTTAACGAAATGACTTCGTATTGAGGGAACCTGCTCAAAACCCTATGGCAATCCTCACGTTTCGTAAGCGTAAGTGTTTGAA